ACTTTCCTAGGGACAAAGTCGAATAGGGAAAACTTTTCACCCCATCCCTAGGATCAGGGACTGGAGGCCCTATTGAGATAATGACTCAGAATTATAGTTAACTGTTTGACTTCACTCAGTTCATTCTTAAGAATGTTTAAATAACCAAACTAAGTCAAACTTATTGTCTAACGACCAAGCAGTATAATACAACAAAGAGACATACACATCCTACTTCTAGGTGCAAATTTTTGTTCTGTGTTCATCTTATACAGAAGGTGTGCTTTCAAATTATAAATACTACAAGCTGAAATGCATAATTCTAATCTATAAGCTGCACTGGGCTTTACACATTACTGAAGTCTAACCCACCAGTTCAACAATTCCTTAACACTCTATCTATAGTGTTGTAGTCAGATTGGTTCCAGGATATTAAAGTGACAAAGTGGATGGGGTAATATCTTTTATTAGCCCAACTTCTCTTTGCTAAAAAGATAAACTTTTGTGCTTACATAGAGCTGATCTTCAGGTATGAGCACAGGTGGGGGAACTTTGAAACTCTGTGAGGAGCCCGGAGTCAGGCTCCACGTGGCGTTTCAAAGCGGCAGTGTTGTGTGGAGCCCAGGGATAGTTTGGGAGTCCCCAGCTGACCCCAGGCTCCATGTGACGCTGCCGCTTTGAAACACCACGTGCAGTCCAGGCCAGCTGGTCTGTTTCTGGTCTGTTTTAAAAACCTACGCTCAACGTGAATCTTTTTTTAATTAAACATTGAAAGTTGACAGTTTCTCATTTGTTTCTTATTTTCCATGGTATACAGCACTTGGCAGAAGGGCATGGACAAACTGTAGCTGCACATTACAATGAACTTCAAGAAGTTGGATTAGAAAAACGTAGTCAGAGTCGCATATTTTTCCTCAGAAATTTTAATAACTGGATGAAGAGTCTTCTCATTGGTATGGTGCGATTGTTGCTTTCTATTGTCTTCACTTGAAAAATGGGTGGTACTATGCAATAAAATATCTCCCTTTCTTTGATTACATGCATATATGTTCTGTTACCATCACAAAACAATCATGGTCATGTTAAAATTGCTGCTTTCTAGTGTTAGTTATATTAAGTATTTATTCAGAGGAAATTGTTTAGTACAGCTCTTCTAAAATTTGATTGCAATTAGGGATATATGTTAGTATACATGGTTACCTGCAAGGCCCCTCCCTGCCCTTTGTGCTGCTGCCTCGAGGCAGCCATGCGGGGATACAGAGGGAGGGCAGGCGGCTCTGTGGGGAGCCATCTTAAAAGTTGGCTACTTGTGCACACTGGCTCCCATCGAGTTCCCCCTCCCACCGTGTAAACATGTAGCCTCTGAACTTTTCAGGGGTTACACTTTTTAACATTCCTAATTTACAAAAAGCGTTGCAATTAGGGAAGGCATTGTTTCTTCCTTTTCCCTGTGTTCTTTTTTGCATCTAGCACAATGGGAGTCCCAGCCCTCATAAGACACTTTTGCATTAATTGATGCCAAATGTTAAAACATTAAATACTAGCTAGCACTTATGAAAGATGCAGTATTAAGTTTGGAAACTAATCTGCTTGTCATGGTTTTCCTTGCCTTCCTTATCCCCTCTCCCTCAAGGCACATGTGTATGCAAACAAAATCTTCGTTTCTCAGAAGTTAATCTGTTCTTAAGGAGATTTTTACAAAAGGAATCATAGTATTTCATTTTTATTTTCTTTTTCTTTAGAGGTGGTATTACTCCAGATGTAGAATAATTTATACAGGTTGAATCTCTCTGGTCCAGCATGTTTGGGACCTGACAGGTGCTGAACCATGGGAGGTCAGTAATTTCAAGCAGCATGACCAACACTTGCACTGCTAACTGGGCTCTTAAGACATTTAGGGGTAAGTTAGAGCTAAATAAAAGCACAGAGCACTTGCTAGCCAGGATCAGTGTCTGTAAACAAGGAGGTAGCTTGAAAGGTGGCTTCCTGCGTGTACTGGCTCCTGCCTTCCCCCCCAATCCTCTGTGCTTCTGCCTCTGTCAGAGGCAGCAGCGCAGGGGGCAGGAACAGGTGGCTCTGTGGGATCCAGTGTTTGTGGGGAGCTGGCTTAAAAGCCAGATCCCCACAGGTACCGACTCCTGCCCCCACCTTCTCCCCCCCCATTTCTCCTGCTGCCTCTGTATCAGGGGCAGCAAGAGGGGGTGTGGAGTATGTGTAAACAAGGAGGTAGCTTGAAAGGTGGCTTCCTGCGTGTACTGGCTCCTGCCTTCCCCCCCAATCCTCTGTGCTTCTGCCTCTGTCAGAGGCAGCAGCGCAGGGGGCAGGAACAGGTGGCTCTGTGGGATCCAGTGTTTGTGGGGAGCTGGCTTAAAAGCCAGATCCCCACAGGTACCGACTCCTGCCCCCACCTTCTCCCCCCCCATTTCTCCTGCTGCCTCTGTATCAGGGGCAGCAAGAGGGGGTGTGGAGTATGTGTAGTCATTTGGATTCACTGATAAGCCCAGGCTTATCGGTTAATCATTTAAATGACTACACGCTATCATTCCTAGTTGCCGGACCAGAGAATGCCAGACTAGAGATGTTCAACCTGCGCTATGTACATTTTCAGCATTTGAAGATATTGTGTCAAGAGTATAAAAAGAAACAGTACGTTTACTTGCTGTATGACAATACATTTTAAAGGTATAAAAAACGACAAAATATTGGAGGGGGAAAAGTGCAGTATCTTTCAAAAGTGATCCTGGCATTTAGTTTCCCATAAATCTGCTTTCCAATTCTGTTAAAGGATCAAATACAAAGATAAATCAGTAAATAAAATAGCAGAACCATGGGAAATAAGTGCAGGGATTTATAAAGAAAAGATTGGTTTCCAGGGAAAGTATGGTAGCATTTGTCTTACAGCACTAAAAATTAGTAAATAAAAGAAAGCAGTGAGAGGTAATAGTTAAATTATTGTAAAGCATTTGGTCTGTGTCTTGAAATCTTATCAGTTAATTTAAATCTGTTTGGATACATGCACTATAACAGAGATTAAAAACTGCTCAAAAATTCCTGAACAAATGTCAAGTAGTAACGTATCAAGTTGAGTAGGAGGGAGTCTGCAGGTGGACTAGAAGCAGCATTGTTGGGCCTAACCTTTATTTATAACTTTGTGAATGTACTGAGAATCAGCTAATGTCCAAGAAATTTGCATAAAACGCTAACACCAGTTAGGACAAATAAAAATAAATAATAAAAAAATAGAAGGTCCTAGAGATGATAATACTAAGGCTAAAAAGCAACAAAATTCCATTTAAAAAATGCTAGTTAACACATGGGATAAAAATATGCTTTGGAAAGGATAGTCTTTGTATGCTTACTAAAATTTAAGCATGGATAATAGAGAACAAATGTGTGTAAATATGCAATATAGCCCCAAAAAACTTGCTATATTCTGTTGCCTCTTGCCAATCTCCATCCATTGTTGTCCTGCAATATTAAACTAGTAAGCATCGCCCGATAAGGTGCTTGTTAGGTGATGCTTACCAGTGGCCTGGCTGGGCTGGAGCAGCTCCTGCCCATGGTGGGCCCGGGTTAGCCGGAGCAGCCTGCCACCCGCCCTGTTTGAGTGGTCAACTGGTTAAACACATTATTTAATCAGTTAACTGATTAAACAAGTTTTTACATACCTAGTCTGCCATGGTGTGTTTAACTTGTGAGGGTAGCTCATCACTTCTTTAGTTAAAGAATGGTCTCTTATGCTTGAAATTCAGACCCAACCTTATTCTGGATGTGATTCCTTGTATTTTATCAGTCCTGCTTCTTAATCATCTGCAGGCTCAGCATTGGACAAATCAATATACTTTTTTTACTCTATAAAACCTATTTTTCCCAATGCTCAGCTTATGCTGAGTATGCAACACTCAGCCCAGGAAGCATTCATTCCTTTTTTTATCCTCCACATACTTTAAGAGATTGATTAAAATAAAAAAACTCACCCCCATGCACACTTTAAAAAAAAAAAAAGTACTTTAGGAACAAAAAATATAGAGAACTTGACTCACTGTTTTGTACAAACTCTCATGTAGACTTGAAATGAACTTTGAAATTCTAAAATATCAGACTTTGTTGCCTTTAGGGAACTTTGTATAATGAAAGATGCTTCGTTATCAGTTATTGTATGCCTTCTCTTTTACAGGTGAATTTATTGAAAAGGTACGACGTAGGAAGCGAGAGATCACTGTGTTGGATCTGGGCTGTGGAAAAGGTGGAGACCTTCTTAAATGGAAGAAAGGCAAAATCAGTAAACTTGTGTGTACAGGTATGAAGACAAAGTAACTTTCTAAGACAGTTCAAAAGGAAATGTATGCTTTACTCCTTTTTATATTTCCAAAAATTCTGTGCTTGTTGCATAGGAACTTCAGTACTGTGTCCTGACGTTTTTTATCCTGTTCTTTTTTATAATGGTTTGTAACTGTTAGCATAAACAGAGGAAAACATCCTTAGGGTTTCTATTTAATTATTATTCATTTTATTTCATACATACAAAGTGAATGTTTGGAATTAAGTAAAAATGTTTGTTTGCATGCAGTTTTTCGCAGAGATTTCATATTTACACTGCAGTTAATAACCCGCAGGCTAAGGAATTGTTTAATTGTGGCACAGATGTTTGGAGTTGGGCTACAGGCTGGTCTCCAGGACCCTGTGAGGTGAGAGAGTCCTAGAGCCAAGACTTCTTCCTTGCAACTGAACATTCACTTAGCCTGAGCCTCATGAGTCTGAAGTCAGCTGGCACAGATAAGCCAGAAGTGTTTAATTGCAGTGTAGACAGTGCAGACGCTCCTTGTCACCACTTAATTACCGAATCAAATTAATTGTTAATTACAGAATTAATAATGCAAAGTCATATAATCTTGGTCTTAAGTTTGCATTCCAGTTACTGGAGCAATTTTATCAAGGGTGTTCAAGGAAGATACTGGCTATATAGAACTGCAAAACAAGTGCATTGGTCACATCCTGAAAACTAACTTTGATGGGGAAAATCATAAAGTTTTTTTATTTTTAAGTTTTAGAGAGGTAGCTATGTCAGTCTGATTGAGGGAAAAAAAACAAGTCCTGTGGCACCTTAATGGCTATCAAATTTATTAGCGAATAAGCTTTCACTTCATCAGATGCATGAAGTGGGAAGAATCAAATGGCAGAGATATAAACATACATACAGAGATGGAAGTATTACAATAGCGTTAATGAGGAAAATGCTCCCATCTCTGTGTGTATGAATATATCCCTGACATCACATTTTTTTCACTTCATGTGTTTGATAAAATGAGCTGCAGTTTATGAATGCTTATGCCCTAATACACTTGTTAATCTTTAAGGTGCCACAAAACTAGACCTTAAATTCTGAGAAAAATTTAGAACACTAGGGGAAAGGCTGACTTTTATTTTATAAATTTACTGTGATATCACAGATTTGGAATTCTTTGCTGTAAAATTACATATGAGGAGGTGATGGGATCTGACTGAATTCCCTTTTACCCTATGTAAATATAATTTTTGTTTAAATCTGATATATTTTAAAGATTTATTTATTGTGAGTAATTTACTAATAGCTGTGTATTTTATAAAGAGGGGGGAATTATTCCTTATCATGAGGACCACACTTATTTTCTAGCCCTGTTAACTGTACATGCAAATGGCCAAAAACAGTCAACTGATTTGTGTACGCTTTTCCTGTAAAGGTATAAACTAGTTACACAATTTCACACCCATCCATATCAACAAGGTATCATTTTTTTCTAGTCTAGGCAAGACCTTGGAATAGTTTGGAGCTCTGCAAACTCGTGAAGAGAACACCATCATTTTTTTTATATCTGGTAGTCTCTTCCTCCTCTGAAGGTTTCCACTGTCACTCTGAGGGCTGGATTTTTTTATTATTAAAGATTACATTCTGTGGAATTTGTATTTTATTGTATATGGGCTAGATTAAAAAATAAGCCTGTTGGTTTGGCTTTTTGTGCCACCTTGAGTACCAGGTGTGCATGTAGCAATTTAGTGCACTTAGTTCCTTGTAGTCAATATAAATATAAATAAAACTTTATGGTGGAGTGTATCTTCTGAAAACCAGCTTTTACTCATACTAAGGTATGATTGGTATATCTTCTTTCACGCCAATCTGAAGAGAAGTTTGTGTATGCAGTTTATTTTTTTTATAGATATTGCCGAAGTTTCCATGCAACAGTGCCAACAGCGGTATGCTGATATGAAAGCCCGGTGTCGTGCTAATGAATACATTTTCAATGCAGAATTTATAACAGCTGATAGCTCTAAGGTACAGTTGTCCTGTTTTATATGTTCACTGATGTTGTAACTTGTTTCTTGGTATTCTTATTTGAATAAATATTTCAAGTTACTAGAGTAAACGTTCAGGATCATTTTGAAGAGGGAAGAATTGAATTGTTTGGCTTATCCATATAGACACTTAGCATATGGTAAGATGGAAGTAAATGTTCATTACATCAGCCTGCTGTGTGGACTCTGCTGCCACATACAAATTGTGTAATACACTTTGGCCACTTAGCACACTAGCCTGCTGTGTACTACAGATTTCACAATCATTCACAATCCCTCCCCCCAGATTATTTCAGCAGTTACATGTTGAGCACCATGAATGCTTTGTAATATCCCTACTATATATGGAGTTTCTGTACAGAAAAAACCCTAAATCAGTCATTAGAACTATAGAAGTTAAGCAGTTGCTTGTAAAATAAAAGCTTAAATGCACAAATTGTGTTTAGTAGTTTTGTAATGTATTCAACTTTCAAGAGTATGTCTTTCACTTATCAACCGTATCCTTTCAGTTTCCCCATTGACTAGTGGGGTCGTCATATTCCCAAAATTTTGTTAATTGCTACATAGCCACTAGGGGCACGAAGTAGCCGGGCAGAATATTTCAGTTTGAGGTAGATCGCAGATTGCACTTTAATTCAAAAAGTGATTTTGTGCTTAAAAAGGCTGGAGACTACTGATTTAGTGGTTGCAAAACAGAGCACTATACATTTTTCCGCTTTCTCTCTTTTCAGTAAGCTTTATTGAGAAGCAGTCCTATTCCAGGTTCATCCTTGTTTCCTGGCTCATCTTAGTTCAGTCTCTCCCAGCATTGGCTCAGTTATGCCAATTTGGAGGACTCTACTTGGTTTGGTGAGTTTGTCACTTTTCTGTTTGGTTTATGAGAAGCAATTCCATTCCAGGCACATCCTGTTTTCCTAGCACAACCAAACCCTTACATTGCTTTAAGTTATGGTAAGAGAAAGCTGTAAACTGAATTTGGTGGTCCTAGCTCTTATCGTTTAGGAGTTCTTGATCAATCAGACAAATTCTGAAATATATAATAGGTAATAATGCTACTAGTTACTGAAATGCAGGAGATAAAGTTTCATGACAAATTCATTTAGGGGTAAGACAGATTAATAAAATTAAAAGTTTTCCATATATGTTTTACATACAGGCAGTCCCCGGGTTACGTACAAGATAGGGACTGTAGGTTTGTTCTTAAGTTGAATCTGTATGTAAGTGGGAACTGGCATCCAGATTCAGCCACTGCTGAAACTGACCAGCGGCTGACTACAGGAAGCCTGAGGCAGAGTTGCTCTGCCCTGGGCTTCCTGGAATCAGCCGCTGATCAGTTTCAACATGCTGAATCTGGACGCCAGTTCTTACATACAGATTCAACTTAAGAACCCCAGGAGTCCCCAAGTCAGCTGCTGCTGAAACTGATCAGCGGCTGATTCCAGGAAGCCCAGGGCAGAGCAACTCTGCCTCAGGCTTCCTGTAGTCAGCCGCTGGTCAGTTTCAGCAGTGGCTGAATCTGGATGCCAGTTCCCACTTACATACAGATTCAACTTAAGAACAAACCTACAGTCCCTATCTTGTACGTAACCCGGGGACTGCCTGTATGTAAAACATATATGGAAAACTTTTAATTTTATTAATCTGTCTTACCCCTAAATGAATTTGTCATAAAACTTTATCTCCTGCATTTCAGTAACTAGTAGCATTATTACCTATTATATATTTCAGAATTTGTCTGATTGATCAAGAACTCCTAAACGATAAGAGCTAGGACCACCAAATTCAGTTTACAGCTTTCTCTTACCATAACTTAAAGCAATGTAAGGGTTTGGTTGTGCTAGGAAAACAGGATGTGCCTGGAATGGAATTGCTTCTCATAAACCAAACAGAAAAGTGACAAACTCACCAAACCAAGTAGAGTCCTCCAAATTGGCATAACTGAGCCAATGCTGGGAGAGACTGAACTAAGATGAGCCAGGAAACAAGGATGAACCTGGAATAGGACTGCTTCTCAATAAAGCTTACTGAAAAGAGAGAAAGCGGAAAAATGTATAGTGCTCTGTTTTGCAACCACTAAATCAGTAGTCTCCAGCCTTTTTAAGCACAAAATCACTTTTTGAATTAAAGTGCAATCTGCGATCTACCTCAAACTGAAATATTCTGCCCGGCTACTTCGTGCCCCTTCTGTGAGGCCCTGCCTCTGTTCACTCTGTCCTCTCTCCCTTCCCCATTCTCTCTCCCTTTCACTAGGCGGGGCAGAGATTTGGGCACAGGATCTGGTTTTGGCCTAAGGGGTTTGGAGTGTGAGAAGAGATCTGAGCTGAGCTTGGGGCAAAAAGTTGAGGTGCAGCAAGGGGCTCAGGGTATATGCTCTGTAAGAGAGTTTTGGTCCAGGGGGCTCAGAGCTGCGGCAGCAGCTTAGGATTCATGAGGAGGCAAGGGGTGGGAACTGGCTCCAGCTGAGTTCTGCTTACCTGGGTGGTGGTGCAGTGGGGCTAAGGCAGGCTCACCCCTGCACTGGCCCTGTACTTACTCCAAGAGCATCCAACAAACTCCCTCCATCCCAAGCCCCGTTGTGCCTTCCCTCCATTCTGTGGGAATACAGAGTGGGAGGGGGGCACTCGGATATAAGCAACCCCTCCTTTCCTTCCTCTGCCCTGCACAGCAAGCTAGGGGGAGGGAGCAAGGAGGAGGCAGCTCCAGGGCAAAGGGCAGGAGGTGTGCCACAGTGAGGGGAAAGCCAGCTAGAGCCTCTGACAGTTTACGATCTACCAGTAGATCCCGATCTACTGGTTGGTGGCCACTGTGCTAAATCAATGCTTAAGGTTTGAAAACTTGAAGGCAGTACTATTGGAAACCAAATTAACTGTACCCCTTCTTTTTTAAAACTTAGTGAATAAAATTTTATAGTATGAAGTAAAAAAACAAAACAAAACCCCATACTTGATGGACTTTCCCATTTAAAAAAATACTAAAAAATTCAACAGACAAATTTTAACATCCCATTTTTAAGAAATTTTAATAAATTAACTTCATAAAAATAACACTATTTTAAAAAAAATATATTAATTTAAATAAAGCATGTACATTTTCCTTTAATTTTCCATTTTTATTCATCCTCTACTAAGCAGTAGTTTGTCTGAAGCTTCTATAAGGGCATGCATTGTTGGAAGATTAACATAAACCATTTTTTTGTTTTGTTTCGGAAGACTAATATATGTTTCAAACTTTTTAATCCATTGCAGGAACTTCTGTCTGACAGTTACAGTGATACACATATGTGCTTCGACATATGCAGCTGCCAGTTTGTTTACCATTACTCATTTGAGACGTATGAGCAGGCTGATATGATGCTTAAAAATGCTTGTGGGAATCTCTGTCCCGGAGGGTATTTTATTGGTACAACTCCAAATAGCTTTGAGCTTGTGTAAGTGTTACTCATTCTGTAGTTTTTTAAAATTGTATGAAATGTTACATTTAAAGCAGTCAGTCTTTAGGTGTCCTTTTATAATATTTCATAGCAGAATGTTTCCAGCTGGCAGTCTATGTTGCTTACTTGTCAGGAGAGCGAATGTATACTAACTTGAATAAAATGGAGCAGATTGCGCCCACCCCCATGTATCATAGGGAGGTATATCTGCGGGGTACTACAGCTCCTAGCCTATAATGCTTCTGTATTGATTTAAATGGTAACAAAACAACTACAATGTGGGCAATAGCTGCAAGCTTCCCCTGACACTTTTGATTGCTTCTAACCCTGAACTGCCTCTACAAGAAAGAATTCGGGTTCCCTGGCTGTCTAATCTTTGAGCACTTTGAGTGTCAAAACCCATTATCTTCAGACTTTTGAAATTTGAATAATACCTTTGTTTCATTCCCATGTTTTTATATTAGTTTTATTTATTACGAGAGGCATTGTGGTGCAAATAATAGGGCACTGGAATGGACTGTGTCTGTCTGACCTCATCCAATGTCCATACACCTCTCTTTAGTTATCTGTAAAATAAGAGTAACAGCTTATCTATCAATTACTCTGTTTATATATCCTTATCTAGAAAGCGACTTGAGGCTTCGGAAACTGATTCATTTGGGAATGATGTGTACACTGTACAGTTTCAGAAGAAAGGGGAGTATCCCTTGTTTGGCTGCAAATATAACTTTAATTTGGAAGGAGTTGTTGATGTCCCTGAGTTCTTGGTTTATTTTCCTTTACTGATAGAGTAAGTTCACTTCTGACTTCATTCTGACTTTATTACTTAATCAAATTTTGAAGGATTGTATAGGTACATGTCTAGCAGAAATATACAGTCAGACTTTTTTGTAATATTAGCACATGCTACTTAAAAAGTTTTATTAGTATCTCCTATCTGGTTCATATTTGAAGTATGTGTAGTGAAGATATTATATTCCAAGAATTTATCTTCAGATTCTGAGTGCTAGCCCCAAATTAACATGCTAGTGTAAAACAGTGTTTCAGATTCTTGATAAGTTAAAACTTTATATTTTTATGGTATTTGTAAATTGGTTAATGTGCCGTCAACTGTTTCAAGGCCTCCATGTTTAATAGGATCTTGCCAACTTCAGTTGTGCCTCAGAATTTCCCTTGGTGCTGTTACTTAAAATGCTATGTCACTTGGGGAGAAATCCAACTTTGAAGTCAGTGTAAAATTCTGTTTGACTCACTGGGTCCAGTATTTCACCCTTAAGGGTGCATTTCTGCTCTGAAAATTGTTATTAAAAAGGCACAATCTTACTGAAGAGAGCTTCTGCCCTTGTGATAGATGTAGACAGAATAAAAAAATTGCCACTCTTAGGTCTGTAGAGACAACCTATCTAAGAATGCTGTGGGTTTCTCTTCAACCTTGTGGATTTATTGATATAATTGCTTACTAAAGCACAACTAGTTGCAGTTAGAAGGGTTGCCCAGGTGTCACTGAAGGGTATACTCTGTCTTACAGGACTCTTCTTATTGGTCACAATAGTGAATGGGAAATAATCCAGGCTGGCTTTTTTTCAGGCCTTCTTTTTAAACTGTAATGAAGCTAAAGAAAGTAAAATCCCATTTTTTTTTCTCTGAAGACTAACTCTGATCTAATTCTGGTGTTTCTCAACTTTTTTAATGTCGGAGACTGGCTAGCTGTTTTCCTAAACTGTCTCAGTGAAACCTCAGGGACTCCAGAGGCTTCAACAGACTGGTGGTTCAGAAGTGTTGTTCTATAGTGATATGCATCTAGTTAAAAAATCTCACTTTCATTAACCTTTTGTGTGTGTGGGGGGGGGGATTTATATATGCAAAATGAATTTTGATTAAAGTTGTTTCATTGTTTGAAAGGAGGAAGTAAGATTTAAAAAAAAAATGTAATTATCAAAAATTGACAAAACACAGCGTCACTTTCCTCTGCCCTCAGCTTGCCTTTCCTTCCCATAAGATTCTCTTCCTTCTCCCTTGTCAGAGACACAGAAGTTTCTCATTTGCTTTTCCTCTAACCTCTACTTTCTGCACTAAACCCATCCCATCTCCTGATCTCCCTCACATCCATACTTTTTCTCGTTTCCCTCTCCCTTTTTTCTCATAATACAAGCAAACTTCAACCGCTCCCATCTTATATCCAAAATAAATCAGATATGCAACTCTTGACTTTTCCTCTTCAGTTACTGTCCTATCTCTTGTCTAAGTTAATTGAAAACGTTATCTACAATTGCTGTCAATAACATCTTTCCTTTAGTCCTGTCCCAGACTCTCTACAGTCTATCTGCCCCTTGCAAGAGCCTTTTCATTGGAGTGCCAGCATCTTTAATGACTATTTTTAGACAAAGCTCCGAACCATTACTCGTTTGCAACCTGTCAGTGGTCTTTGACACCAACAATCATGCAATTCTTGTCCCTTGATTTACTGTGTCCTCTTCTGGTCCTCTTTCTACCTCCTAAATTATTCTTTCAGTAAGTCTTTACTTACAAATAAACAACAATAATACAGGTTTGATGTCTATAATCCGGACTTCTGTAGTCCAGAATCATCTGGTCTGGCATCACCATCGGTGCTACCAGGCAGGAGCATTCATGGGGAAAACCATGGACCCATAATCAGCAACTTCTCCCCTACCCTCCTACAGCTTCTGGAGTGCTGCATATAGCTCAAACTCAGGGAAGGAGTGGGAATAGTGTGATGCTTGGGGAAATAGACAGGATGGCTGCAGAGCCCTACAGGTGGTGGAGGTAGTCGCAGCTGTGGCTCCAGGAGATCAGGCTGGTGGCCACAGGGTTCCACACACATCATGCCTCTTCCTCTGAGTGCCCTACCCATCCCCATCTCCTCTCCCCCCCCCATCTCTCAGTCAATGCCAGCCACTTTGCTGCTTTTGACCTTCCCTGCTTCCACAGATTTCCCGGTTCATGTCTGGTCAGATCCCGAGGTTGCTGGATCTGGAAGGTACAACCAGTAGTAGTATAATAAATACATAGGGGTAAGTCTCCTGGCCTGTGCCTAGCTCCAGTATTAGGTTCTATTAGTATGGGCCTGTGAAGAATCCCATTTAAGTTGATAGAACATGGATTCAAGAGGTCATAGTACTTGATCTTAATGCAGGAGCATAATGTGCCTCTTCCCCCAAATAAAAGCCCAAGTTTTAGACTCTAAATTCAAATTCCGTTTTCATCACAACATTTGAGTTTCAGAAAGAAATCGCTGTGTCTATGTCAGAAATATTTCTACCAAGGCTTAGAGCAGAGAATTTTTTTGAGGACATTGTAACTCCTTGAAAATGGATATTTGATGGCAATGTGGAGTTTTCCAGCCTCTCTAGTGAAAGCCATAAATATATAAACTTAGAAGTTGCAGTCCTACTTAAAACCATATCATGTCCCTATGGTTCAGTATTATCAACTATGATAAATTCAGCTTTTTTTGTTGTAAAAAAAAACTCTCTAGTAATTTTGTGGCTCACTTATGCACATTATTTTCACAGAATGGCAAAAAAATATGGGATGAAACTAGTCTACAAAAAGACATTTCGGGAGTTCTATGAAGAAAAGATTAAGGATGAGGAAAATAAAATGTTGTTAAAGCGAATGCAGGCTTTGGAGGTAGATATAAAAATGATTTTTTTAAGCAACTTATTCTCTTATTTAAATAGTATTTTGCAATTTGCTAAAGTTCATATAGTTTAGCAGTCGCATTGGGCAGTAAATTATTGACTAGCATTGGAGTGCTGGCATTGTAGGAGCCAAACAGAGTTCCCTTGGCATGCTGCTGAGAGAGCTTTGCTAATCTTAATTTTGTGGCTATGGTTACTAGGCAACTCTGCATATTATACTAGTTTTTTACATTTAATAGGTTCTATATACCTGTGTTTTGTATTGTATTTGTTCATATAT